TCTGTCTTCTCTGATCTTCCCCTTCTTCCACTGTCCCCAATCCGTCTGCTGATAGAACAGAGCCTTGGGGGCAAGCTGCACATGCTGTTTGGTCTGTATTGCTAGAGAGTGCATGTGATCAGCACAGGGCCAATCAGCACTGTCCAGACAGAAGGTCAGGGGTCCTGCAGTCTCATAGGACAGTGAGAGCAGAATGAAAACTCCTCCTACAAGCTTTAACCAGTGCTCTGCTGGACACTGCTATAAGTCACAAGACTGCTCTAACTGCTGATGAGAAAAGCTATTTAGCAGTTTATATTTACTAAAATAATTGTATTTCCATGGTCTGTGTACTGTGGAAGACCAGATATAGTGAATGCAGGGTCCTGAGTTTAGTAACACTTTAAGTCATGGTACTGCATATATGTGCACTGTCTAATGAACACCTCAGACAGCAATTTCCACCTAAGGTCTCTCATGCTACTATGTTACTCCACAAGCTAAAGAATAAAAATCTAGCCAGCTGAGAACATCACCCTGGGCTGAGCTAATTTCTCAAGAGTCCTTGAGTCAACTTTGATTGACAGTAACATCCTTCATGTCTGGAAACATACTTGTTACGACTGCTTGGCAGTATGACAACTCAAACGCTCAGGGTAGGAGGCAAGGCCTTAGGTACTCATGAAACCTGGACAGCTATATCTATGGATGAAGTCATGGCTGTCACACAGGCTGGACTTCAAACATGTCTGCCTTTATCACCATTACATTGAGGATGATGGGATTAGCAGTTTGCAGAACACAGATAACCCTTTTTCTGCGTTCGGTGCAGCTCACAGGAAATAACAAGGACACCGCATTTTTGGCAAAAACTTTCCTAGTCTTGCTAAAAAAAAATGTTAGACTGAGGAAGGGAAGGAAAGGAAATCTTCACAATGCATCCAATAGAAAAAGAGGTTCTAACCCTTCCCTAACCCACAAGTTAAAAAACAAAAAAAAAGTATGGGCACAAATTGCACATCAAGGCCAATTACTACTGCCAAAGGGGTTAACATTAACAAATATCCTCAGCACACCTTCATTACCTCAGGGCGATCTGCTACCCCCAATTTGAGTTATATCCCATTTTTCTCTCACTTCACTGTAAACAGATAATCTTAACTCAGCAGTTTGTAGACCATGCAGTCCCCTAGGATAAACGTGTGCAAAAAGCAATGGGATATTTTCTAATATGTGATCATCTAATGAAAAACCAGGACAACTAGGCAATTAGTGTGCTTTATGAACAAAAAATGAGCAGCACACAGGCACATTGCAGTTTTATACATCCACTGGTGTCATTCACACCTGTTCACTTTGTATGTACGTAAAACTTGGACAACTAATTTTTCAAAAATGTTGCATTCTGAATGCTATTACACATGGCGAAAGCCCCCCAAAAAACCCATAGAATAGTGTGCATCTAAAGCAAGGCCAGAAGGGACAGGATATTGCTGCAAAAGAAGTAAACAAAGCCATTAGCAGATAAAGGTCGTGGCTATCCACATTAACCACTGTCCCCCCGTATGACGTCCTGGACTTTGAGTGGAGATACTGGGATGGTATCCACCCTGTCACTGCTGCTCTCCAGTGCCTTACTGTTCTCTCCCGCCTCATCGGGAAGTCCAAGACTGAAGCCGGAACCATAGAGCTTAACGGGGACTGAAATGTACCTGATTATCTCTATGGTATTAGGAACTGGATGTGACAAATATTTTGTCACGTCCTGTTTCGTGGGATGTAAACAAAGCCATTTTTGCCGTGGGAAAAGATCTGATCACACCAATTTTGGTGTTATCAGACTCTTAATGGCAGTGGAGGGATCTGGGGTCTAATAGAGTACCTGTCACTGTAATAGAGTAAAGAGTACTTGTCACTGCTTATTGCTCTCACAAGGGATGCTTACATCCCTACATATTGTTTTTTTTTTCAAAATAAAGAAAAAAAACCCGGTGGTGATCATCAAATATCACTAAAAGAAAGCTCTATTTGTGTAAAAAAAATTATATACATTTTTGTTTGGGTACAGAGTTGCATGACTGTCGCATTTGCCAGGTAAATTAGCGCAGTGCTAAATACCAAAAAATTACCTGGTCATGAAGGGGGTAAAGTCTTCCAAAGCTTAAGTGGTTAAAAAACATTTCTTTTAAACACCTGGTATTAAACCCCATTACTTGGAATTACAAGTAACTACCTTTGCAGTGGTGCCTGTTCACTGCAAGGGTTAAATGCTGGTTAGCTCTAGAGGATGAGGGATAAGGTATAACACCTTACACACGGCTCCAGGAGGCTCCCTCAATCTGTGTGAAAAGCAGTAGTAATCTGTGCTTGAAGAAAAAAAAACTGGTCCTCGGCAGGGTAAAGTCATCGCATGCTAGTGTGCAGTGTATACTAGCGCATTATGACAGACTTACCTGTGAAACGGATCCCTTCAGTCGGTCTTCCTTGTGGGGTCGCTGGCTCTGGCTGCTTGAATGGCTGACCCGCGATGACATCACATGCGCATGGAAGTCACGACCACGTCACAGCTCTCTCAATGGATGCCATGCTGTCCATCGACAGAGCAGTGAGCATACGCCGGTGACGTCACTGGCTGCTTGACATGTAAATATCTCCTAAACAGTGCACGTTACCTAAAGGTAAGCCTTATTATAGGCTTACCTGTAGGTACAAATAAAAAAAAAGGAGTTTATTTCCACTTAAATAGATGATAAATATATGAAAATTGGAGCTCAACTCACTAAATCCATCACAATGAAAGTCAAATATTTATGATGATGCATCCACATAGGTAAGTATAACTTGGCAAAAAAAACCCAAACCCCTGCTCTCTTTTAACCACCTCCCGTCTGGCCGTTGTATATAAATGGCTGGACGGTGGCAGTGCAGGGTTGGGTGGCCATTTATAAACGGCCTACCCGCCCCCTGCTTGTGCACGCTCCCTGGGAGAGCGCAGCACCGCAATCCGGTGCCCGCTGTGTCCTCCAGACATAGTGGATCACCAATTGTCGGACGGGACCTCTGTTCGAGGTCCCGATAATGTGATCACTGATTGGCCAATCAGTGATCACATGCAGAGTAGTAAGCAAGATGTCACTTGTGACATCATTGCTTACTACGTGTGAAATCTGTGAATGATCACAGAGGTCACATGGTACAAGGCTGTTCACAACAGCCTTGTACCATGTGACAAGCTGTGACCAATCACAGCTCACTCAGTAGTTCTCAATGGCTGCAAGAATGCAGCTAGAGAGAAGGAGAAATGATTGCTTTTACATCATTTATGGGTGTAAAAGCAATCAGTGTAAAAAAAAAAAAATTTTTTCATCACCCCCCACAAGTAGTACAGTGTCACCATGGTGACACTGTACTGCTAGGGTGACAGTACGTAAAGAAAAAATAAAAAATAATATAAAAAAAAATTTAAAAATTAAAAAAAAAAAGTTTAAAAATTATCATTTTTGGTTACACACTAATTTGGGTTAATATTTTTTACTAAAAATATAACGGAATAAATTTTGGCCAAGATTTATGATGAAATACTATTTGCAAAATTTTATACGAAAAACCCTTTTTTTCAAAATTTTTGGACTTTTTAATTTACATAGCAAAAAAAAAAAAAAAAAAATCCCAGTGGTGAATAAATACCACCAAAATAAATCTTTATCTGTCTCAAAAAAAAAAAATCATATGGGTACAGTGTTGCATGACCACACAATTGTCATTTAAAGTGTGATAGCACAGAAAGCTGAAAATTGGCCTGGGCAGGAAGGGGGTAAAAGTGTCCGGACTGGAAGTGGTTAAGACTGGATTTTGGAAATATACATTAACTATTTTATATACATTTGATGCAGTGAGATTTGGTTGTTGGCTGCAAATAACTTTCTTTTTTTTTTTTAGTTATTTGTAGTGGTGCACTGAAATGAAAATTCTGGACCGAAACCGAAAATTCAGGATGCATTTGGCCAAAAACTGAACTTTTAATCAATATCATGAAATTAAATGAATATGAATTTATTTTCAGCACCTTTTCAGCCAATAGGCTGCTTTCACAGTGAGCAGTTTTGAAGCATTTTTGCATTTAAAAAAAAAAAAAGCATATTTAAGTTCAATGTATGTCTTTACACTGGTCTGTTGCACTTTCCTTGTGGTGATAAAAATCCTGCTTGCCACATTTTTGGTGCATATTTGGTCAGTTACAAAAAAAAAACAAAAAAACGCCAAAAAAACACCTCCACATTGAGGCTTGGTTCACACCTATGCATTTTTTAGTGCTTTTTGCAGAAACACACTACAGTCCATTTAACATGGTTTCCTATGGGACACATTTACATGTATACTTTTTTTGCTTCATTTTTGGAAAGAGTCAGGGACTTTTTTTAAAAACGTTGCATCTTAGGTTCAGAAGAATGAATGAAAACGCTGCAGAAAACGCATGTAGTGCGAAATACAGCTAAATATAATCCAGGTGCATCAAAACAAAAGGTGCAATGCCTTACAGATTGTTTTTTTAACAACTTGCCATCTGCCCTATAGCTGAAGTACTACTGGGCGACACAGCTGCGCAAAATCGCATATATATGGGAAGCCTACCCCACCTCCACCTAAGAACTGTACTTAAATCACCTCCACCAGATCATCCCCCCGCAGCTATCACCTTTTGTATCAGCTCCCCCTTCCTTTAGATTGTAAGTTCCACGAGCAGGGCCCTCCTATTCCTTCTGTACTGAAATGTATTGTAATTGTACTGTCTCCCTTATATTGTAAAGCGCTGCGCAAACTGTTGGCGCTATAAAAATCCTGTATTATAATAATAATAATAATATATACACGTGTTTTGCATTTTCTCCTAGGGGGAGAGCGTGAGGAGCCCTACCCTTACTGCTAGTGGCGGCAGGGGATGTCAATCACCGGGTCCTGGTAAACAACACAGGTCTCTCTCCTGTCAGCATGGTGGTTGTATTTTATCACCTCTGTGTTTTTTATAGCGGGACTGCAGCGGGCATTCTGACACTGGATGGGAACTAATTGCCACTGATATCCCCAGTGACACGAATACAGTGATCAGTGCTAATAAAAAGCACTGACACTATACTGACACTGGGCAGAAAAGGGTTAATATTTGGGGTGATCAAAGGGTTAACAGTGTGCTGTGTGTGTTTTACTAGGGAGACATGCTGTTTTGTATCTCTCTGCACAGCAGAGACAATTTTTTACACACAGGTGTCTCCCCTATCAGCTTTGCCAGACGATCGCTGCGCGCTGGCCGGGAGCCTGTGATTGACATCCCTAGCGGCCAATAGCGGCGCAGGTAGGGCAGCGTGCGCGCCCCCTACCCAGAAATGCAAATCACATATACATGTGATTTTGCGCTGCCCTGTAGCAGTACTTCTGTATAGGGCAAAGAGCAAGCTGTTAAAGGAGATCTATAGCTACAGCATACATGTTAATTTTGTAACATCAACATTGAAACAAAAAGGAAAGCAACAGTTGACAATCCAATATAAAGTTATTTAATAAAATTCCCCTCATTTTGTGAGTTCTGCCTGTCATCTCTTTCCACAACTTCCTGGACTCCCTTTATGCTTTGTAGTTTTCTCTGCTGTTTACTTTCAATTTCTAAGGACTATATATCCCATGGTACCATGCTGCCTGCAAGCAGTGATTCCTGTACTGACTCCACCTTCTGAAACTCCTCCTCCCAGCACCTCAGTAGCTCAGTAGGCAGGCTCTATGAAAATGTGTGACACAGCAGTGCCTACTCATGGGGAATAGTGAATACACCTCACTAACATCATGGAAGTAAAAATTTACAAAATCCGAAATAATTCAGGTTATTAGAGCAGACAAGAAATAATTGAAATTCAACACGGAAATTAGTTTTTTTTTTTTTTTTTTTTATCAGCACAGGGGACAGTACTTACATTTAATGAGAATCATCCCTTGTGCTGAAGGCTGCTGTCCTAATTGAAATCTTCCATTCTTTGTTCCCCCCTGAAGGTAATCTTCCGCTGCTGCAGGTGTAATACAGCCGCTGGACCTGTCATAGGCACTCATGAAGACTATGCGTGCCCTTTATGCTCCCCCAGTAGCAGCCATCGGCTTGTGGCCATCTTCCTCAGCCTGCTGTAAAGTAAAAGTGATCCCTGTGGCTTGTATAGCTGCCCTCACTTACAATGCGGACGATGTGGTCACTCACATTGGTGGTTCATGGGCTGTCCCGCTTTTACTGCATCCACTGAGTTTAGGATTCCGAGTGGGAGGAGACCAAAGAACATCCATTCCTCAATCTTCTCTGCAGTGTTTGAACCCGCAAGCAACAATGATTTCATAATTTTCAGACTCTGAACAGTCTGTACTTGGTTAGATTCTTTGGACGGCAGGGGAAACATTGGGGTTGATTTACTAAAACTGGAGAGTGCAAAATCTGGTGAAACTCTGCACAGAAATCAATCAGCTTCCAGGTTTTATTGTCAAAGCTTAATTGAACAAGCTGAAGTTAGAAGCCGATTAGCTACCATGCACAGCTGCACCAGATTCTGAGTGCTCCAGGTTTAGTAAATCAACCACAATGTCTCCATAAAGAATACCCCAAAACGATATATGTAACCAGCATACCAGGGAACTCCATAAAAGGGTCCAACACTTTATTGATTTCTGTCTTCTGCTGCAATGTGATTAATCAATAAAGCGTTGGACCCTTTTATGGAGTTCCCTGGTATGCTAGTGACATATTTCTTGCCTTGAAGTCCTTTGGGTCTCCAGTCAGTGGTCACTACAGCACCCACTCACTCTTCAGCCATTTTCAGGAATGTGTGTGTTGGGGATATTGCCTTGGACTTAAAGAATACCTGTCACCTGCCGACTGCTATCACATGGGGGAGGGTCTTGTTAACCCCTCGTGATAATAACAAAGTTAAAGTATAACTAGAGGCCAAACAATTTTTTTTTGTTTTGGATAGAGGAGAGATGGATTAGAACCCATGTCAGTTTTTGTTGTCTGTGCCCCCGTTAAAGGAGATTCACCCTATTTTTCCTGTTTACCATTCTCGTTTGAAAGTAAAACAAAATCCCAACTTTTGGGTTGTCACCAGAAAAGTAATAAAAGGGAATAAGAAGAATAAAACTCTTTCAATGAGGACACCAGTTCTGGTGACCAGGGGGTCCCCAAGGGATTCCCTTAATTTGCAGGGATTTCCTCTCACTTCCTGTTTGACTATAGGACAGAGAGTGAAGGGAAATCTCCTAAATGGTACACAGATGGCGAAAAAAAAAATCTGATGGGTTATAACCCTCCCTTACTCTATCCAAAATGGAAGAAAAAAAAGAAAAAAAAAAAAAAAAAAAAACAACAACAGGTTTTGCCTATAGTTCTATTTAATAAAAAAAAAAAAATTAACCACACAATCTTCCCCCCACTTCCCATTGCCCTGCACACACCTGCAAATTTTAACACTTACATATATTTTGGGTAGGGGGGGGGGGGGGGCGCACACACTACCTGCGCCGCCATTTGCGGCGTCCCGGCTGGTGATTACTCGCTGGTGCCAAGCATCTCTGACAGGGGGAGAACTGTTTGTAAACAAAACAGTTCTCCCCATGTCAGCTTCTGCACTCTGCTTTGCATGGCTATGCATAGCACAGCCATGCAAACCAGTGTGCTTACAGTGAAGCATTAACACAGCACAGTATGTAAAACAGCACACAACACACAGTTAACCCTTTGATCTTGTCACATGTTAACCCCTTCCTGCCCAGTGCCATTAGTACAGTGTCAGTGCTTTTTATTAGCACTGTATTGGTGTCACTGGGGATGTCAGTGACACCAAGTCAGTTCCCCCCCAGTGTCAAAATGCCCACCGCAGTCCCACTGTAAGTCGCCGATCACCAACATTACTAGTAAAAAAAAAAAAAAAAAAATTTTTTATAAATCCCAGTATATATTCCACCATTTGTAAACACTATAACTTTCACGTAAACCAATTAATTTACACATACTGGGATTTTTTTTTTTTTTTTTTTTTAGCAAAGACAGTCCTGCTATAAGTCACTGATCACTGCCATTACTAGTAACAATAAAAAACTAAATTCCAGTATCTATACTGTCATTTGCAAACGCTGTAACTTTCCAATTCATTTACACGTATTGGGATTTTGTTTAGCAAAAACATGTAGCAGAATACATTTTGGCCTACATTTATGCCGAAATTTGATTTTTTAAATTTTTTTTTTGTACCGGACAGGTTTAATAGCAAAAAGTCAAAAACAGTTTTTCTCAAAATTTTTGGTCTTTATTTTTTTTTTAACAGCGCAAAAAATAAAACAAACGCACAAGCCATCCAACACCACCGAAAGAAAGCTCCATTTGTGGGGGGAAAACAAGGGACGTAAATTTCATTTGGGCGCAGTGTTGCATGACCTTGTGATTGCCTGTTAAATTAACGCAGCGCCGTAACTCAAAAAATGGCCTGATCAGGAAGGGGGGGGGGGGTAAATCCTCTGGAGGGCAAGTGGTTAATAGACAGCTGAACAAATATTGTGCGATATAATAAAACTGCAACAGCTACCGTATTCTACAGGTCCCCGGCTTTCAGAAAATAACATTCAGGGGGTTTGAAGTCATTTTCTAGACGAAAGTGCAGATTTTTACGTGTGTGCAAAAAACTGCTCTAGTGCTGAAGTGGTTATTATGAAACTATAAAAAAAAAAAGAAAAAAAAAAAAGTGTGATTTGTGTGTTTGAGAAAAGATATTGACAGGGAAGGATCTGACAGGGCAATAATTACCGTGCGATTGTCCGTTAAAGTAACGCAAAAAATGGCCTGGTCAGGAGGGGGTAAATCCTCTGGAGGCAAGTGGTTAATAAACAGTTGTGCAAATATCCTGCAACATAAAAAAACCTGCAACAGCCACCTTTTTATTCTACAGGTCCTCGGCTTTCAGAAAATAACATTCTGGGGGTTTGAAGTCATTTTCTAGCTGAAAGTGCAGATTTTTACGTGTGTGCAAAAAAACTGCTCTAGTGCTGAAGTGGTTATTATGAAACTATAAAAAAAAAAAAGAAAAAAAAAAGAAAAAAAAAGGCGTGATTTGTGTGTTTTGAGAAAAGATATTGACAGGGAAGGATCTGAAGGGGCAATATTTACCTTCCTTGTTGTCTGAATGCAGCACTGTGTTACTATCCATCTGCAAAAGACAGAAGAGATCTGATAGTCTGACAGGATGGTAAGAACACATAGGACATACCAGCGAGACAAGCCTGCTGTGTGCTTACCTAGAGGAAGGAGTGAGGAGCTTCCAGTCAGGGGCTCAGCAGGGAGGAGAAGACAGCAGGGGAGCTCTGGTGTTGTCTGTGGAGCTCAATGGGTGTGTATGGGGCAGCTGAGCTTTGCTGGGGTTACTGTACCCTGGTTCCCTCTATGTCCTCCATGCCTGAGAGGTAGACTGGGACACGGCTGCACATACAGGGGAAGCTGCTCGGGCTAGTTAGCTCTCTGTGCTGAGCTGGGTGACTCATGTTGCAGTGTGTGGGTGTGAGGAGGTGGGTGTCAGGGCTCCCAGGGTGAAGGTGACACTCTGCATGGACCAGCAGCCGGACCTCTTCAGCCTAACGATGGAAGAACCCCCTTAGCAGAGTACAGGAACCGTCTGGCTGCATGAGAGCCCCCTGTACTCCTCTGGGAAGAATTCAGGGAAACCACAGAAAGGGCTTCTTCCAGACACTTCCGGTCATATGATCAGCACAGCTATTACCATAGAGATCGCTTTGTCGCATGAGCACCATCTAGTGGCGGTTTTACAAACAACAATTCTGTTCTGAGAATTTTCTTGGGCAGCTGACTAGTTTTAGTTATTGCCGGGAATTCCTGCTTTCCCTTACCGGTGTAATATGTTATATTAACTCCCAAATAATAATAACTTCCCAGTCATTTTTATATATGTAATAGTAACTCTATGTAATAATAACTCCCCAGTCATTTTTACATATGTAATAGTAACTCTCTCTATGTAATAATAACTCCCCAGTCATTTTTATATATGTATTAGTAACTCTCTCTATGTATTAATAACTCCCCAGTCATTTTTATATATGTAATAGTAACTCTCTCTATGTAATAATAACTCCCCAATCATTTTCTCTCTCTATGTAATAATAACTCCCCAG